ATGTTAGTCGTGTCAGGGGCACAGATAGCAAGCGGCCTGTTATAGTAAAATTTTTAAGCATGAGGGACAGGAATACTATACTGAAAAAAGCGAAGGAGGTACTAAAACAGGATAAAACATATAGGATAGCTGAAGATTTCACACCAAATGTAAGGACTGTGCGACAAAAATTAAGCCCGTTTCTTCTGGCTGCAAGGGAAAATGGTAGTAAGGTATCAATGCGTCAGGACAAACTTTTGATAGACAGTAAACTGTTTACTTTTAACTTTATAACAGAAGATATAGAAGAAGTTCCTAGCAAATAGGGATGCGGTCAAGGTCCACGGTACTGTACAAATAAAACTGATTTTAATCTTAACAGTGACTCTTCAGATATTCTATTAAAAATTGTTTCATGGAACATAGAAAGTTTAAAAACAAAATTAAATAGAGACAGAAAATCCATTGATATGATTGTTGAAAAACACGATATAATTAGCTTCCAAGAAACATTTCAAAAAGTAGAAGGTGAATTTGTAAATATGTTCTGTGATTTTGACTATTATGAAAGTATTCGCTCAAGTGACAATTCTGTTTTCAACAAAGCATCAGGTGGAGTTTTAGTGTTAGTTAGAAAAAATATTATAAAAACATTTAAAGTGTCACAAATCTTAAAGCATTATAAGGATATGGTTTTCCTTAAATTTAACTGTGAACACAAAATAATAATAATGGTATTTATTTATATACCACCTGAGAACTCAATTTTTTACAGTGACAAGAATACAAATAATGGTATAGATATCCTAAATGAAGCTCTTTTTGAAGTAGAATCAATGTATGATGAATGTGAAATATTTTTGGCTGGAGACTTTAATTCCAGGACCGCTGAACTAAACGATTTTGTTACAGAAGATAAAGCGAACTATATTCCTGGTCTTCAATACATTACAAACAATGACCATGATTCAAAACCATATATATCTCAGCGTAAGCGTACAAATAAAGACAAAACTACAAACAATTTTGGGCGTTTATTATTACAATTGTGTTGTACAAAGGATTTGTGTATAATTAATGGTCGTAAACATGGTGACAAAGAGGGGCAATTTACATATATGTGTTCAAGTGGGGCTAGTGTAATTGACTATGTAATTACTAGCTACAATTTATTCAGATGGATATCTCATTTTAGCGTACTTCCTGTTGATTTGTCAAAACATTTACCAATTTCATGTTGCTTAAAGATTCCTGTTACAAGTCGTGCTGAAAAGGAAAAAGATGTGTATGTATGTAAAGAGAACCATATACGGTATAAATGGAACTGTAACAAATCTCAGTTGTGCAAGGATCTCATAGATGAACCGTCTTCGTTAGAATATTTAATCAACACTATAGATTTGATAGATGTTAGTGTAGATGAAGCTACCAATGTGTTTATTTTTCACTTGCAAAATATTTGTAATGAAGCTGGTTTATTACAAAACAACAAACAAAGTAAAAATGTTTATAAGCATCAGGAATGGTTTGATTCTGAATGTGTTAATTTGAAAAACATTAAATGTAAACTATTAAATGATTTCCGAGCAACAAGTGACAGTATCATACTACATGAATATGTATCAACAAAGCAAACTTTTCATAAGTTGTGTGATAATAAGCAAAAGCAACACAAAGAAGAAAAGAGAACTGAACTATGTAATGTTGCTAAAAGTGGAGATAGTTGCAAATTTTGGAAATTGATAAAATCAGTTATATCTAAATCTAGTATTTCTAGGTCAAATATTTCTAGTGATGAATGGAAAAACTATTTTTCTAACCTTTTGAACCCTGATGTAATATTAGATAAAGAGGAGGACTTTTCTGAATTTGTAGACAATTTTGTAAAATCTCACAATACTGATTGTGGTATATGTATTGCTCATGAAGAGGAAAATTTTTCTTATTTAGACAGTGATATTAATATTGAAGAAATTTTAAGTGAAATTAAAAAGCTTAAAAATAATAAATCACCAGGTGAAGATGGTGTACCAGGTGAAGTGTATAAATGTTTATCAACACAACTATTGCCAGTATTATTAAAATTATTTAATAAAATTTTGCATACAGGTGTTTTTCCAGAAAGTTGGACTACAGCAATAATTATTACATTGTTTAAAAAAGGCGATAGAAATGAATGTGGTAACTATCGTGGTATTTCACTTTTATCTGTAATGAGTAAAATTTTTATGGGTGTTATAAGTAATAGATTAAAACTATGGTCAGATTTAAATGAGCATATAATAGAAGAGCAAGCAGGTTTTCGTAGTGGTTACTCTACAGTAGACAATATTTTTATTTTGTGTAGTATTATAATGAAATATTTATCAAAGAAAAAAGGTGTTTTGTATTGTGCATTTATTGATTTTTCAAAAGCCTTTGACAGTATTAATCGTTCTAAGCTATTTTATTTATTGTTGTGTAAAAATTTACATGGTAAAATGATAAAGCTATTACAAAATATTTATGGTAATGTTAAAGCTAAAGTTAAAACAGCAGATGGACTATCTGATACCTTTACATGTAATTTTGGTGTAAGACAAGGTTGTACCTTAAGTCCATGGTTGTTTGCTATGTACATAAATGAATTGGCAACAGAAATGGAACATTGTGGTGGAAATGGCATTTTTATTCATGAGGACTTTCATAACATTATGCTGCTGCTGTTTGCAGATGATCTTGCGCTTATAGCCGATACTCCGATTGATCTTCAGAGACGTTTAAATTGCTTAGAAAAATATTGTGATAAGTGGAATATGACTGTGAATATGGACAAATCTAATATTGTTGTATTTAAAAATGGTGGAAAATTATCTTCTAATGAGAAATGGTATTTTAAAGGAGAACTTTTGAAAGTGGTCAGCTACTATAAATATTTGGGAGTTTATTTTTCCAACAGACTTAAATGGACTTATTGCTGCAAAACATTAAGTATGCAATGTGATAAAGCCCTTAATATGATAAAACATTGTATGTGTAAACTTGGAACTAGAGACATAAGTCTTGGATTTAAATTATTTGACTCCATGGTAGCTCCAATACTTTATTATGGTGCGGAAATATGGGGTACAGATAAAGTGAAAGACATTGAAACTGTTCAAAATAAATTTTGTAAATGGCTACTTGGAATGGGTCAAAAAACTAATCATCACATAGCAAGAGGTGAATGTGGTCGTTATGAACTCTACGTAAACTATATGTGCAAGCCTATTAAATATTTTCTAAGTCTACAAAACCTTGATGATAGCAGACTACCAAAACAATGCTACCGTATGATGTTCAAAATGAATGAAAATGGACAAATAAACTGGTGTACGAAAATTCAAAAACTATTATTTTCATATGGATTTGGATATGTATGGGAAAACCAAAGTGTTGGAGATATAAAACTGTTTATGTTGTTATTTAAACAAAGACTAAAAGATGTGAACTTACAAACTTGGTCAGATTATATTGGTAATTCTTCCAAATGTTCTTTTTATTCGAAAATTAAAGATGTTATTATTATTAATGAAAATATTCAAAAGCTGTCATTTAAGCTCAAACATGAAATTTTTTCCATTATATGTTCTAATCATAGCCTTGCTATAGAACAAGGTAGACATGAAAATCAACCTAGGGAAAATAGATTATGTAGAATTTGTAATACAAATGAAATTGAAGATGAATACCACTTTATACTTGTTTGTCCGATTTTGTGTGATATAAGGAGAAATTTTTTACCCATATGGTGTCATAATAATCCTAACAAAGAAAAACTGATTAATCTGTTTAAAACTGATGATTTTTGTATTTTAAAAAATCTGGCAATATATATTATGAAAGCTAAAGTATTTCGAGATGAAGTTTTGACATTTTGAATGTATAGTAAAATATAAGTGGAAATGAACACTACTGATGACTGATTTATAAATATGATGATATGTGAATATGTAATGTGATTATTGTTTATTGTGTAATATGTAACTGTAGATGGCAAAATTATAAATTGTGTAATTTAATATTTGTACCGTGGGCTGGAGGCCTTTTTTGTACAATAAACTTGATTTGATTTGATTTGGGAACCGTTTGTGGTAGGTCAATGATAATTGGTATGCAGTTGTATAAGCATTAGCACATCTCATTTCCATGGAGACTATTTGGTCCTTACCCCTCATTCATGGTCTATTGACTTTGAAACTTTTGCTTAGTTTACATGTATTAGTTTGTGATTAGGTCAGTTTAAGATGAACCACTAATGTTAAGTCAATGATATTAGGTATGCAAATATATTGGCATTTGCAAGTTTCATTTCCATGGAGATAATATAACCCCACCCCCTAATTATGGTTCATTGACTTTGAAACTTTTACATAGTTTACAAGTTAATGTTTGTTTTTAGGTTTGTTTAAAGGGAACGACTTATGAAAAGTCAATGGTATTTGGTTTGCAGTTGTATTAGCATTGGCACATCTCATTTCCATGGAGATTGTTTAGCCCTGTACCTTCAGTCATGGTTCATTGACTTTGAATATTTGCATAACTTACATGTTAAAGTATTGCTATTTTAATTTCAACATTTGCATTATCAAAATAACAAATGGGCGAGACATATCTCTGTGTTAACAGTTTATGATTTCATAGGATCAAATTTACGATCATACATATTTAACATTGCACTAACTATGATATAATAATAAGGAGTTGTAGTATGATCCCAGTGAGAGAAATGTGCCCCGAAGGCCAAAGAGAAAGCAAGATAAAGCCATTTTTTGTCTTGACATATACTGTCAGCATAAAAATATATGAATCAATGTAAATTTCCTTCCGATATTGTTTATAGATTTTATGTTTGCATAATTTTTTTGTTTAATAAATATCTGTCATGAATATAACTCTTACATTTTCTTAAACATTTTCCTGTTTGTGAGTTTCAGAAAGATGATGATTTTTATCCATAAGAGATATTTATTTATCATAAATATAATGATTGTCTATTATAGAGAGCAGCAAATGAATTCAAAGCCTTGGAATCTGATCATGAAAATTTAAAGAAGAAATTAGATGCTGCAAAATCCAGGTTTGTTGATGTAATAATTTACACTCCAATTTGACAATTGACTGAAGAGACTAAATTAGAATTTATGCATCAGCGAATGGAATCAGAATTTTATTGATTCAAGAAATTAAAATCAAAGAGGCTGAAATAACACAATTTAAAAAAGTAAGCTAAATCTGCTAATCATAATTCACAAGGTCAGAATTTGTGCAAACCTTACCAAGAACAATGGACCATTTAAAACTAAATAATGCATAAATTATGAAATATGAATAAATATTGAAGTCAGTTTTTTATTCATTTTTAGCTCACCTGACCTGAAAGGTCAAGTGAGCTTTTCTCATCACTTTGCGTCCGTCGTCCGGCGTCCTGCGTCCGTCGTCCGTCGTCCGTCGTCCGTAAACTTTTACAAAAATCTTCTCCTCTGAAACTACTGGGCCAAATTTAACCAAACTTGGCCACAATCATCATTGGGGTATCTAGTTTTAAAAATGTGTGGCGTGACCCTGTCAACCAACCAAGATGGCCGCCACGGCTAAAAATAGAACATAGGGGTAAAATGCAGTTTTTAGCTTATAACTCAAAAACCAAAGCATTAAGAGCAAATCTGACATGGGGTAAAATTGTTCATCAGGTCAAGATCTATCTGCCCTGAAATTTTCAGATGAATCGGACAACCCGTTATTGGGTTGCTGCCCCTGAATTGGTAATTTTAAGGAAATTTTGCTGTTTTTGGTTATTATCTTGAATATTATTATAGATAGAGATAAACTGTAAACAGCAATAATGTTCAGCAAAGTAAGATTTACAAATAAGTCAATATAACCGAAATGGTCAGTTGACCCCTTTAGGAGAAATTGCCCTTTATAGTCAATTTTTAACCATTTTTCGTAAATCTTAGTAATCTTTTACAAAAATCTTCTCCTCTGAAACAACTGGGCCAAATTAAACCAAACTTGGCCACAATCATCATTGGGGTATCTAGTTTAAAAAATGTGTGGCGTGACCCGGCCAACCAACCAAGATGGCCGCCACAGCTAAAAATAAAACATAGGGGTAAAATGCAGTTTTTGGCTTATAACTCAAAAACCAAAGCATTTAGAGCAAATCTGACATGAAGTAAAATTGTTTATCAGGTCAAGATCTATCTGCCCTAAAATTTTCAGATGAATCGAACAACCTGTTGTTGGGTTGCTGCCCCTGAATTGGTAATTTTAAGGAAATTTTGCTGTTTTTGGTTATTATCTTGAATATTATTATAGATAGAGATAAACTGTAAACAGCAATAATGTTCAGCAAAGTAAGATTAACAAATAAGTCAACATGACTGAAATGGTCAGTTGACCCCTTTAGGAGTTATTGCCCTTTATAGTCAATTTTTAACAATTTTTCGTAAATCTTAGTAATCTTTTACAAAAATCTTCTCCTCTGAAACTACGTGGCCAAATTAAACCAAACTTGGCAACAATCATCATTTGGTTATCTAGTTTTAAAAATGTGTGGCGTGACCTGGTCAACCAACCAAGATGGCCGCCACGGCTAAAAATAGAACATAGGGGTAAAATTCAGTTTTTGGCTTTTAACTCAAAAACCAAAGCATTTAAAGCAAATCTGACATGGGGTAAAATTGTTCATCAGGTCAAGATCTATCTGCCCTGAAATTTTCAGATGAATCGGACAACCCGTTATTGGGTAGCTGCCCCTGAATTGGTAATTTTAAGGAAATTTTGCTGTTTTTGGTTATTATCTTGAATATTATTATAGATAGAGATAAACTGTAAACAGCAATAATGTTCAGCAAAGTAAGATTTACAAATAAGTCAATATAACCGAAATGGTCAGTTGACCCCTTTAGGAGTAATTGCCCTTTATAGTCAATTTTTAACCATTTTTCGTAAATCTTAGTAATCTTTTACAAAAATCTTCTCCTCTGAAACAACTGGGCCAAATTAAACCAAACTTGGCCACAATCATCATTTGGTTATTTAGTTTTAAAAATGTGTGGCGTGACCTGGTCAACCAACCAAGATGGCCGCCACGGCTAAAAATAGAACATAGGGGTAAAATTCAGTTTTTGGCTTTTAACTCAAAAACCAAAGCATTTAAAGCAAATCTGACATGAAGTAAAATTGTTTATCAGGTCAAGATCTATCTGCCCTGAAATTTTCAGATGAATCGGACAACCCGTTGTTGGGTTGCTGCCCCTGAATTGGTAATTTTAAGGTAATTTTGCTGTTTTTGGTTATTATCTTGAATATTATTATAGATAGAGATAAACTGTAAAAAACGATAAATGTCGGCAAAGTAAGATCAACAAATAAGTCAACATGACCGAAATTGTCAGTTGACCCCTTTAGGAGTTATTGCCCTTTATAGTCAATTTTAACCATTTTTTCGTAAATCTTAGTAATCTTTTACAAAAATCTTCTCCTCTGAAACTACTGGGCCAAGTTAATTATAGATAGAGATAATTGTAAGCAGGAAAAATGTTCAGTAAATTAAGATGTACAAACACATCACCATCACCAAAACACAATTTTGTCATGAATCCATCTGCGTCCTTTGTTTAATATTCACATAGACCAAGGTGAGCGACACAGGCTCTTTAGAGCCTCTAGTTTCTTATTTTACAGAAATTCTGTTCTGTCAAAAGAAATAAAGTCATTTAAACAGCAAATGCAGACAATGGTACAAAAGGGTCAACATGATGATGAACTCATTGAAGCTCTCATGGTAGTATAAACAAGAGTTTTTTGTAAACAAATGTTTATCTTAACATATTTATTATGTAATTTTTGCTGTGTAGTTTGATTGAAATTTTGTGTCATATGTGGCATGTTCCAATGATATTATAGAATTTCTAGATTTTAACCATTCTTAATTTTAAGAAGTGTATTTAATGAAACACGACTTTATTAAGCTTGTTTGCATTTCAAGATTGTAAGAGTTGTAACTGTATGAGTTTTTGGGATTTTGCCAAAGAGACATACATGAATTGCCCACTACAGTTAACATTGTATGGGTTGCAGTGCTATCTGATTGAAGAAATATGAAGGGGCCTTTTAAATGATGATGTAACACAGTAAGTGACATCTAATCTCTGCTCTAGTTTTTATGAAAAATGTTCTACCCAAGAACTATATTATATAAACAAATATAAAATATGGTTTTATTTTCATTATAGTTACAACAAGCACAGCTACAAAAAATGTTAGAACAGACTAGTGAGACAAAAACACTGACAGAAGTTGACTCCCGGGAGAAAGTCAAACAAATGGAAATGAAAAAACAGCATGATAATAATATCGTACAGCAACTTAAAATTATTGTAGCTGAAAAAGAGACTAAAGTTCATGCTTTAGAGGATGAAATTAAACAGTTAAAACTGAATGTAAGTTTTCCTTCTACAGTATTTCTTTACCATTGTAACAAATATAGTTTACAGATTAGAAATCTAAAGGTTTTCATTAATTTGTGATGTGTGATCATGTTAAATGTTGCTTTAGTATACAGTGAATTATCATTAATAGTAGAAATCTGACTTTGTATATTTAAAAACATGATATGTGTTGTCCTGTTTTCTCTCTTCAGCATTTACAGAAAGCTCAGATGGAAAATGCCAACATGTTATTCCAGCCATCCAACAGACCTCAATCAACTAATGAGAATGTAGAACTGGAATTCAGATTATCATCTGTCACACCTACAGATTCAAGGTAAAATTTGTTAGTGGTGTGTACTAGAACTTAATTGTTATGTTGAACTTCAAGGTATAACTCCACTGGATGTTAAGCAACCGACAATCAATCAATCAATCCAGGTGTATATCTTTACAAAACTGCTGAACTTAGTTTTTATGTAGATCTTCCATGTAAAATTAATCAATGATCTTCCAGGTAAAATTAATCAATGATCTTCCATGTAAAATTAATCAATGATCTTCCAGGTAAATTTCATCCAAAACATGATACAAACTTGGAAGAGCTGATACATCTAAAATGGACAATAGTATAGCCTAACACAGACGAGGAATCAGAACTATGAATGAGAAAGATACATTCCTTAATTTAAAATGATTTACTTAAAACACTGCATTTAGGTCTTATGAGAATGTTTTAAATTTTGTTATCTATTTTCCAAATGTTTGCGAACTTTATATATGCCTGTATTAATGGAAACCAATAATTCAGGTTAATGAGATCAATGGTACCAAGGTTGACTTCATCTTTATATAGTCTTTTTTTTTCCGGAAATATATTTTAAGCCAATATCAAAAAGGTTAAAGGGTTCTAATTTAACTTTATTTTGTTGTTGATATTGAAATCAATAAATCAAAACAATGCTGGAATAGAATCCAGACAATATTACAAGTTGCACATCATGTTTGAACTCTCTTGTAGAATGAGTGACAGACCACCAACTGTTAATAGTATGTTAGAATCAGCCAGGTCTCAGTCTAGAAAATCATTGGTTAGAGAATCTTCCTTTACTGTGTAAGTACAGTTACAACACAGAATACAGGCTCAAAATAAAGATAAAAACTACATAACATACTAACTAAAGGCAAAATAGGAAACAAAACACAACATACTAACCGTGGCTATCTAAAGGAAAATATGAAATATAACAGCATACTAATCATGGCTATCTAAAGGCAAAATATGAAATATAACAGCATACTAATCATGGCTATCTAAAGGAAAATATGAAATATAACAGCATACTAATCATGGCTATCTAAAGGCAAAATAGGAAATATAACATAGCATAGTAACCATGGCTATCTAAAGGCAAAATAGGAAATATAACATAGCATACTAATCATGGCTATCTAAAGGAAAATATGAAATATAACAGCATACTAATCATGGCTATCTAAAGAAAAATAGGAAATATAACATAGCATACTAGTCATGGCTATCTAAAGGAAAATATGAAATATAACAGCATACTAATCATGGCTATCTAAAGGCAAAATAGGAAATATAACATAGCATAGTAACCATGGCTATCTAAAGGCAAAATAGGAAATATAACATAGCATACTAATCATGGCTATCTAAAGGAAAATATAAAATATAACACCATACTAATCATGGCTATCTAAAGGCAAAATAGGAAATATAACATAGCATAGTAACCATGGCTATCTAAAGGCAAAATAGGAAATATAACATAGCATACTAACCATGGCTATCTAAAGGCAAAATAGGAAATATAACATAGCATACTAACCATGACTATCTAAAGGTAAAATAGGAAATATAACATAGCATACTAACCATGGCTATCTAAAGGAAAAATAGGAAATATAACATAGCATAGTAACCATGGCTATCTAAAGGCAAAATAGGAAATATAACATAGCATACTAGTCATGGCTATCTAAAGGCAAAATAGGAAATATAACATGGCATACTAATCATGGCTATCTAAAGGAAAATATGAAATATAACAGCATACTAATCATGGCTATCTAAAGGCAAAATAGGAAATATAACATAGCATAGTAACCATGGCTATCTAAAGGCAAAATAGGAAATATAACATAGCATACTAACCATGGCTATCTAAAGGCAAAATAGGAAATATAACATAGCATACTAACCATGGCTATCTAAAGGTAAAATAGGAAATATAACATAGCATACTAACCATGGCTATCTAAAGGAAAAATAGGAAATATAACATAGCATAGTAACCATGGCTATCTAAAGGAAAATAGGAAATATAACATAGCATACTAATCATGGCTATCTAAAGGCAAAATAGGAAATATAACATAGCATACTTACCATGGCTATCTAAAGGAAAATAGGAAATATAACATAGCATAGTAACCATGGCTATCTAAAGGCAAAATAGGAAATATAACATAGCATACTAGTCATGGCTATCTAAAGGCAAAATAGGAAATATAACATAGCATACTAACCATGTCTATCTAAAGGAAAATATGAAATATAACATAGCATAGTAACCATGGCTATCTAAAGGAAAATAGGAAATATAACATAGCATACTAATCATGGCTATCTAAAGGAAAATAGGAAATATAACATAGCATACTAACCATGGCTATCTAAAGGAAAATAGGAAATATAACATAGCATACTAATCATGGCTATCTAAAGGCAAAATAGGAAATATAACATAGCATACTAACCATGGCTATCTAAAGGAAAATAGGAAATATAACATAGCATAGTAACCATGGCTATCTAAAGAAAAATACAAAAATATAACATAGCATACTAACCATGGCTATCTAAAGAAAAATAGGTAATATAACAGCCTACTAGCTAAATATAAAGCAGAGAAATATAACACAGCATTCCCTTCATGACACTTTTTGTTGCAATTATATTGACAATGAATCTAAATGAAACAAGATGTTTGGTCTATTGTGGAGAGTTGTCTCATTGACAATCATACCACATCTTCTTTTTATATTTTATGTGTTTTCAGGAATAATTTAGACAAACGTGCTGTGAATGAGCTAACTTATCAGTGCCAGGAGTATAAAACTCTTATGCAGGTAGCTGATGTGGAAAGAGAAAAACTTTCAGAGTTAGTACAGGTCTTACAAAAAAGGTAAGATATTGTGAACAAATAAAAATTGAAATTTTAACGGTCAGTCAAGTGTACAAATGATTCTATGCTGTTACAACTATTAGTTCCATGGATTACTTGATTTAATATGTTTTAAACTCTACTGTACATTCTTTACTGACCCTGAATTTTAACAGCTATTTTTTTCATGATTTCTTTCTGTTTTAATTATTAGTTAAAAAAAACTTTATTATGTTTTGCATTACTTGTATGTTTATAGATATCACTTCACTACGAACCAGTAAAAGTCTGAAATGGCCTATATTTGTACTCGACTGAACTGATTTTTACTCGACCAGTCTGAATTGGTCTGAAATTTACTTGATATTACTCGACTGTAGTCTGAACCATACTAAACAGTCTGAACTTGTACTCGACCTTTACTCGACCAGTACTTAACCATTTTATACGAGTCCGGACCATACTTGACATAGTCTTAACCATTCTCGACCAAGTCTGAAATATGCTCGACCTAGTCTGAACCATACTCGACCAAGTCTTAACCAACCTAGACCTATTTTTTGTATCTATCTATATTATTTTTTCATTAATTTAGGAACTGTTATTCATATATATATATATATATAAAATGTATATCACATTTAAAATTAAAATAAAACAAGGTGATCAAATTTCTGGTTGGATTAAAAAAATATCATGTAATAAATTAAGTTCGTTAAATGAATTTTCATATACATGATATCATGTTCACATTGATTTATGCATCAAAAATACTATAACTTTCAACCATTATTCAAATATCTTAAATGTTATTCAATTTTTTTTTTTATCAAAATATATATAAAATAGTATATAAAGCAACTTAATAAATGTTAGAATTGTAAAATCAAAAATTTAATATAATAATAATAATAAAACTTTCATCTTTTTATCCTTGATAACCTTTTAAAAAAGGAAATGTATTCCAAAGTTGCAGTAGAAATTTATTTTAATTAAATTTAAATACGTTTTGTCAAAATTAAAGACATGGCATCCAAGAAGCAGTTTAATAAGGTTTAATGGTTTAATTACCTCAGTACAGGTGTTTTACAGGTAAAAAGAAAACCATATTTTTCTTAAACTCGTGTATTACTTATCTAGTGAATTCAAAGGCCTTGTTATTTAAGTTTTACAGGATGTTGTAATTTTCAATGGATGTTATTTAAAATTTATTACTCTCTGACCAGGTGTGATCTTTTTAATCAGTGTGCGTCAAGCAGGATGTATTACTTTATAGTTTACCCCTAATCACAAGAAAAATTTTATTCATTTCTTGAATTTTTTATCCCTTTTAAAATATATATATATCCCAAATTATGAATAGGAATAGATATATTTCTGATATAAGGTTAAACAATGTCAGTGATTTTGTTGGCTGTTGTTACCTCATTAAAAAGATAGTTATATAACTATTGTATATAACCATGAAACCTAAGTACAGAAAGTCACAGGACAAAAAGTCACAGGACAGAAAGTCACAAATTTGATAGGACAAAAATTCACAAATATTTGTATACAATTCATTGAATATTTATGAGAAAGATCTTGAAATGTTTCCATTTTATGACACATATTCATTTTACAGTTTAGGAAATTGTTCATAAGACTTAATTTGATAAATAAAGATTTATAAAATTTTAATCATGCAAAGGATATATTTCTTGGCACCATGAAGCCATTTAAGTACCAAGACATTGTAACATTTTGTTTTCTTAACAATTATTTGATCATTATTGATATTGTTTCAAGAAAAATACAAAAATGTTTTTTTTTAAATAAGTGTTCTATTGTTCAAAGAAAAATAACCTCAAAACTGAATTGTGACTTTTTGTCCTGTGACTTTCTGTCCTACATTCGTTTTTATTTAGGAATTTAGGAAAATCAAGTTTTGTTTTAAAAAAAAACACATGCCAAACAAAAAGCACCTTATTTTTAATAAGGTTTTATTACCCTCAGTATAGGTGTGGTTTTCAGGTAAAAAAAGTCTTTTATTTAACAAGACTCAGACTTTAAAATTAGATAATTTAACTATCTCGATTTGCCAAATCTAAGAGAATCATGTATTATTAAAGAATGTAAAAAATGTTTTTATATATATCTTTATTTAATTGTGGCTGTTGTCATGTAAGTTAAAGAGAAAGTTATTTAAACAATCAAAATTATAAAGAAGAGGTTATTTGGTCAAGTATGGTTCAGACTGGTCGAGTATTGTTCAGACCTTTGGACGAGTATGGTTCAGACTGAAAAAATAGGTCGAGAGCTGGTCGAGTACTGGTCCAGACTGGGTTAAGACTGTTTCAGACTGGTCGAGTAATAGTTTAGACTATTTTCAATAGCAAAGATAAGGGTCAAGTACAAATCAGTACAGTCGAGTATGGTTAAGACTGGGTCAAGTAATATTAAGTAAAATTCAGACCAATTCAGACTGGTCGAGTAAAAATCAGTACAGTCGAGTACAGATATAGGCCATTTCAGACTTTTACTGGTTTGTAGTGCTTTATTTTAATGCCTTTATACTATCCATTCGGAATTTGTTTTTTGAATATTCTGTTTCTGCAAAATAAAAAGTGATTTGTTTGAATGTTAATTCATTTATATTTAAGAAAAGCAATTTCAAATGAAGAGTTTCAAAAAGGAAGAAAAAAAATTATAAACTCTGTGTTTCTATTTTTAGATCTGACGAGAGTACACAAAAAGTAGCTGATGTTCAAAATGAATTGATAAATCAAAGAAAAAAGAATGCCTTGTTAGAGAAACAGATTGGGAAGTCTAAAATAGAACAATCCAGTAAATGTAAAGGTGGTAAGTGTGAATGAAACAAACATGAATCAAAACATTGACATCACTGAAACAGAATCATAACACTGACATCACTAAAACAGAATCATAACACTGACATCACTGAAACAGAATCATAACATTGACATCACTGAAACAGAATCATAACATTGTCATCACTGAAACAGAATCATAATCACTGAAACAGAATCATAACATTGACATCACTGAAACAGAATCATAACTTTGACATCACTGAAACAGAATCATGACATTGTCATCACTAAAACAGAATCATAATATTGACATCACTGAAACAGAATCATAACATTGTCATCACTGAAACAGAATCATAACATTGACATCACTGAAACAGAATCATAACATTGTCATCACTGAAACAGAATCATAATCACTGAAACAGAATCATAACATTGACATCATTGAAACAGAATCATAACTTTGACATCACTGAAACAGAATCATGACATTGTCATCACTAAAACAAAATCATAATATTGACATCACTGAAACAGAATCATAACATTGTCATCACTGAAACAGAATCATAACATTGACATCACTGAAACAGAATCATAACATTGACATCACTGAAACACAGTGATTTTGCTAGCACTCGTCACTTTCGTAATTTATGAAACTGTTTTCAAAATGACGAAAGTATTTCAAATCAATTTCGTCACTTAAATTTGGAAAGTGTAAAAATATTTTGGCATGAAAATACTATAATTCTACCTGTATACATGTTTCTGTCAAGTTTATGACCCTCAGCTAATTTACTACAGGAGTTTTAAAGTTGTGATTACAGCTAATCCGCTTATTGCCATCGGATGGGTCACTAATCCGGTCAATTATTTTCCCCAGTAAAATTAGTCAGTCTGCATTTTAATATCAATATTTCTCAAGGCCAACAACCACAATTTGCAGTTCGCTTGTCGTAGTTTCGTCATTTGAACACAATTGTTTTCCCCGGGACAATTCGCTTTTTAATTTCAATATTTCTAAAACGATCATAACTTGCAGTTCGTTTGTCGTATTTTCGTCGTCTTTGATATTAAACATTCAATTTCGATTAAAAAGATAGAACTTTATTCAAAACGTTCAGAAATGAGTCAAACAGGTGCTTCCTTACATATACTGCCCATGCGTGAAAGTATTCCTATGAATTTATAGACACTAAAACGTAAAATACGAAATAAATTTAGTGCCAAAATAAATGAGAGAGACAAATATAGTTCTTACAAAGCAAATTGAAATAAAAAAATTATAATTTCCTGCCTTTTTTTAAACACGAACCAATCCGTAGATGAATCCGGATTCATTCTGAGTTTATTATCTACTTGTCACTTCCCGTTTACATTTCATTTGAAATTCAAAAGTAAACATGATCAATTCTCGATTAATTTACAATTTACAGTTATTGGAATCGTTCCATGTGAATTTGTACAAATCCTTGGTTCCAACTTTATAGAATTTAATTCAAAATATCGATTTAAACGTCTTATAAGGATAATAATTATGCAGTGTAATAGTCTTACAAAGTTCAACAAGTTCATTTATACTGTGATTCCTGGTTTTTATAAAAAAAGGAATCCAACTTTTGTTGATCAGGAATGTCCCCTGAAACTAATTGAAGTAAAATTTTGAACTAGGTTTTCAGATCTTATATCACAATCTTCATATTTAAGTGACACATCAGTCAAATCCTGCAATTAGTCCTTCAAAGTCTGACAAAGATGTATAGTTAGTAATATACATATATCCTTGGTCCCTTGCTGTTACCCAAAATAATGTTTATTTTCATCTCGCACAAAAGTGACTTAAAGCCCTCAAAATCCTAGCTTAAACCCTGCTGAAACAGAATCATAACATTGACATCACTGAAAAAGAATCATAACACTGACATCACTGAAACAGAATCATGACATTGTCATCACTAAAACAGAATCATAACATTGTCATCACTGAAACAGAATCATAACATTGTCATCACTGTAACAGAATCATGACATTGTCATCACTAAAACAGAATCATAACATTGTCATCACTGAAACAGAATCATAACATTGACATCACTGTAACAGAATCATGACATTGTCATCACTGAAACAGAATCATAACATTGTCATCACTGAAACAGATCATAACATTGTCAAACAGAATCATAACACTGACATCACTGAAACAGAATCATAACGTTGTCACCATTGAAACAGAATCATAACACTGACATCACTGGAACAGAATCATAACATTAACATCACTGAAACAGAATCATAACATTGTCATCACTGAAACAGAATCATAACATTGTCATCACTGAAACTGAATCATAACATTTACATCACTGAAACAGAATCATTACATTGACATCGCTAAAACAGAATCATAACAGAATCATAACATTGTCATCACTGAAACTGAATCATAAGATTGTCATCACTAAAACAGAATCATAACACTGACATCACTGAAACAGAATCATAATCACTGAAACAGAATCATAACATTGTCATCACTGAAACAGAATCATAACACTGACATCACTGAAACAGAATCATGACATTGTCATCACTAAAACAGAATCATAACATTGTCATCACTGAAACAGAATCATAACATTGTCATCACTGTAACAGAATCATGACATTGTCATCACTAAAACAGAATCATAACATTGTCATCACTGAAACAGAATCATAACACTGACATCACTGAAACAGAATCATAACACTGACATCACTGAAACAGAATCATGACATTGTCATCACTAAAACAGAATCATAACATTGTCATCACTGAAACAGAATCATAACATTGTCATCACTGTAACAGAATCATGACATTGTCATCACTAAAACAGAATCATAACATTGTCATCACTGAAACAGAATCATAATCACTGAAACAGAATCATAACATTGACATCACTGAAACAGAATCATAACATTGTCATCACTGAAACAGAATCATAACATTGTCATCACTGAAACAGAATCATAACATTGACATCATTGAAACTGAATCATAACATTGACATCACTGAAACAGAATCATAACATTGACATCACTGAAACAGAATCATAACATTGACATCACTGAAACAGAATCATAACATTGACATCACTGAAACAGAATCATAACATTGACATCACTGAAACAGAATCATAACATTGACATCACTGAAACAGAATCATAACATTGTCATCACTGAAACAGAATCATAACATTGTCAAACAGAATCATAACACTGACATCACTGAAACAGAATCATAACATTGTCACCATTGAAACAGAATCATAACACTGACATCACTGGAACAGAATCATAACATTAACATCACTGAAACAGAATCATAACATTGTCATCACTGAAACAGAATCATAACATTGTCATCACTGAAACTGAATCATAACATTTACATCACTGAAACAGAATCATTACATTGACATCGCTAAAACAGAATCATAACAGAATCATAACATTGTCATCACTGAAACTGAATCATAACATTGTCATCACTAAAACAGGATCATAACACTGACATCACTGAAACAGAATCATAATCACTGAAACAGAATCATAACATTGTCATCACTGAAACAGAATCATAACATTGACATCACTGAAACAGAATCATAATCACTGAAACAGAATCATAACATTGACATCACTGAAATAGAATCATAATCACTGAAACAGAATCATAACATTGCCATCACTGAAACAGAATCATAACATTGACATCACTGAAACAGAATCATAATCACTGAAACAGAATCATAACATTGTCATCACTGAAACAGAATCATAATCACTGAAACAGAATCATAACATTGACATCACTGAAACAGAATCATAATCACTGAAACAGAATCATAACATTGTCATCACTGAAACAGAACTATAACATTAACATCTCTGAAACAGAATCATAACATTGACATCACTGAAACAGAATCATAACATTGACATCACTGAAACAGAATCATAATCACTGAAACAGAGTCATAACATTGACATCACTGAAACAGAATCATAACATTGATATCACTGAAACAGAATCATAACATTGACATCACTGAAACAGAATCATAACATTGTCATCACTGAAACAGAATCATAACATTGTCAAACAGAATCATAACATTGTCAAACAGAATCATAACACTGACATCACTGAAACAGAATCATAACATTGTCACCATTGAAACAGAATCATAACACTGACATCACTGGAACAGAATCATAACATTAACATCACTGAAACAGAATCATAACATTGTCATCACTGAAACAGAATCATAACATTGTCATCACTGAAACTGAATCATAACATTTACATCACTGAAACAGAATCATTACATTGACATCGCTAAAACAGAATCATAACAGAATCATAACATTGTCATCACTAAAACAGAATCATAACACTTACATCACTGAAACAGAATCATAATCACTGAAACAGAATCATAACATTGCCATCACTGAAACAGAATCATAACATTGACATCACTGAAACAGAATCATAATCACTGAAACAGAATCATAACATTGTCATCACTGAAACAGAATCATAATCACTGAAACAGAATCATAACATTGACATCACTGAAACAGAATCATAATCACTGAAACAGAATCATAACATTGTCATCACTGAAACAGAAATATAACATTAACATCTCTGAAACAGAATCATAACATTGACATCACTGAAACAGAATCATAATCACTGAAACAGAGTCATAACATTGACATCACTGAAACAGAATCATAACATTGACATCACTGAAACAGAATCATAATCACTGAAACAGAGTCATAACATTGACATCACTGAAACAGAATCATAATCACTGAAACAGAATCATAACATTGACATCACTGAAACAGAATCATAAAATGACATCACTGAAACAGAATCATAACATTGTCATCACTGAAACAGAATCATAACATTGACATCACTGAAACAGAATCATAACATTGACATCACTGAAACATGACAAGTCTATCCATCCCTTCCTTCTTTATAAAACAAAATTTATCAGTAGGCATATTTCCACTTGATTTTTAAATGAAGAAAAGTGAATTTTGCCAGAAAATGCTTTTATAGGTAAGAAGTCAAAACATAGTAAATTATTCTATCAGCCAAAATAGTCAATTACAAGGAGATAGCAGAACAATTACACATAGTGAAAGAAAGTCTTGTGGGATTTTTTTTAAACAAGTTCAATTCAATCAATTCCACCAGTATATTCAAGATTTTTGAAACAGATGTTATTTTTCTTCAAATATAAGTAGATAATAATATGATTGCTGTTTAGTTTTGCCATTATATATTAATTGTATCTTTCATCATAAGAGTGAAAGCACTTTAGCTCTTTTGATTTTCTACCAATAGATGTACTTATACATATAAAGTAATACAATATTTCTTTACTTTACTTTATATTGAAAATAAGTCAATATTTTTATGGTTGTCCACTGTTACTCCTTTTACAGTTTTCAAGACCTATATCTTTTGGCAGAGTATTTATTCTAAGACCAATGGTGCATATTATGAGTATGTTGATGTTAGTCAATTTTTCAAAAGCAGTTACATGTTACTGAACTTAACAAGTGTTTATGAAATTAAACAAATACTGAACATTGTTTTTCCTATCTTGAGGGAGTCTAACTTCCTACACAGGAACTTAATGCTCTAAGTAATTGATAGTGTTTATCTGCCATTTCCTCCTACAGTTTTCAAACTAAAACTTTTATTCAGCAGTGACTGTTTGTACACAACATTGTTGTTTCTTCTAACATTTTTTAAGCTAGAACTTTCATTCAGCAGGGTAATTGTACACAAAATTGTTTGTATTACACTTCCTCTGACAGTTTTTCAAGCTAGAACTTTTATTTGGCAGGGTATTTGTACACAACATTGTTTGCCTGCCATTTCCTCTTAAAAAATTTCAAGCTAGAACTTTAATTCAGCAGGATAATTGTACACAACATTGTTTGCCTGACATTTCCTCTAAATAATTTTCAAGCTAGAAACTTTTATTCAGCAGGGTAATTGTACACAACATTGTTTACCTGCCATCTCCTCTAAATAATTTTCAAGCTAGAAACTTTTATTCAGCAGGGTAATTGTACACAACATTGTTTGCCTGCTATTTCCTATTAAAAATTTTCAAGCTAGAAATTTTCTTCAGCAGGGGAATTGTACACAACATGGTTTGCCTGCCATTTCCTCTTACAGTTTTTCAAGCTAGAACTTTTATCTAGCAGAGTAATTGTACACAACATGGTTTGCCTGCCATTTCCTCTTACAGTTTTTCAAGCTAGAACTTTTATTTGGCAGTGTATTTGTACACAACATTGTTTGCCTGCCATTTCCTCTTGCAGTTTTTCAAGCTAGAAACTTTATTTGGCAGGGTATTTGTACATAACATTGTTTGTCTGCCATTTCCTCTGACAGTTTTTCAAGCTAGAAACTTTATTTGGCAGGGTATTTGTACACAACATTGTTTGCCTGCCATTTCCTATGACACTTTTTCAAGCTATAATTTTTATTCAGCAGTGGTGTTTATACACTTATCCTATTGTACAAATTAAGATTTTATGAATTTTTGAATTTGGTAATTAAACTTAGTTTTTTTTTGTGTTAGTATATTTGACAAGTTTCTACTGACAACTTTTAATTAAAACAATACTATTACAGGGACATTATATTGTCTCAGGCACTGTAGTTAAGAATTAGAGTTTACTTTTCTAAAAGAAAACTGCTTGTGTATTTGTTTCATAGTTGGGAGGCGACATATTCATGGTACAGTTCATTGGAAATATGCTCTGAGAAAAGTTGCCTTTTAAATGAACTATACTGTTGCTATTTATTTATTGATTTGAAAAGTTTTAACATGCTTTTGAGCAGTATTGTAAATTTACCTTTTGAAATAGGTATTATCATAGAAATATTTGTAGTCTTTTGATGGGAGTAGAATATATTGCAGTTCTGACTAAAATCTAATAATTTGAATATATGCACCTTTTTAGCAGTTCTGAAATGTAAGTCTGGGTCAATTGTTTTTAATTCATAAGACAAACTAACCTGTATCATCAGTCTAATAGACTAAACTACATGAAAAATTGTATCTATTTTTAATCTAAACAAAGGAAATAATGAGCAATTTTCCATTGAATTGGTTGTGTACAGCCTGATAAAAAAGAGGTGTATTGAATTGGTATACCAGACCCAATAAGATAAGAAGGTTCAAGACCTTTAGAAAGAAAAGAAAAAAATTACATTAAAACAGCTGTATATATTACTTATACTTAAAGGCAATTATCCTAAAGGATAAAAATGTACTCAAATTTATTTTTCATTTGAAACGTTACATGTCAATTATTTGATTGGTATTAGCCTAAGACTGCAGTAAAGGGAAGTAGAATGCTTTTGAATATTTTGTGTAATTATTCTCCACTTTCCCTTTCTTATATAAAGATTTGTCAAGAGTTCCATCAAACATGTGTCTCGTCTTCAATTGATGCTGCAGGTGTAAAAAAGTGTTATGTTGACTGCCAAAAAATAAGTTTATTTGCCAGTTAAATAAGGATTTTTTTTCTTCAGATGCTATTTCTTGATATTGAACAAGCTTTTGCCAAAGTTTCATAAAATATTAAGACAAAGTTATTGCTGTATAAAAAACTGTTAAAATTTGATATTTGAAAAGTTTAACCATCATGTGGTGAAAAATTATGATATTTCAAATTATTTACTATCAGGAAGTGATTAAACTTGATATTTCAGACAGATAACTAAGATATAAATAAACTTTGGTTTTACAGATGGTTTACCATCCCGAAGTAAGAAACGGCCTGGAAGAGCTAGTAGTGTGAATGTAGCCTCCAGTATCAGGGATTCTGCAGTATTTGGTGAAATGGATGAAGATGATCTTCCACAAAATATGAATCTAGAGGAGTTAGTTACTACGTAAGATACATGTTTATTCCTGCATTTAACTAGTTACAGTGCTAGGTATCTAATTAGCAGTGACTGATTGATTGAAAAATATAAATGTTTAACTATAAAAGGTATTAGATTAAACATTATTGTACATGTTTTAGCTTTATACTGAAAATCGCCAACAAGTAATGTGTAAATACGAGTAAAATTGTATCTGACTGACAAAAACATAATTTAAGAACAATGGATGCCATAAACCGGAAATGAAGACGATTACAATACCAGATCAGATTCCTGGGTTGGATAAGGGTAATTCCGGGTTTGCCAATCAAATACAATAAAAAAAATAATAATTCCAGGCAGGTGACAAAATACATCTATGATGATGAAATATAAACACTAGAATTGAAAACCAAAATATATATGGAAAAGAAAGAAAAAGCATGAAATATTTTATACAGAAACTCAATTTCGATTTTTGTAAATTTTAGATTTTATGTTTCCAAGTTATGGGGTTTTATTTATTAAAAAAGGGGGATTTCCCAGTTTTCGGACAATAACTTTCATGAAACTTTGATGACTTGTTTATATATATTGACTTTAGCTCCCTTTAGATTTTTATAAATTTTAGATTTTACGTTTCTGAGTTGTGGAATTTTATTCATAAAAAAAGGGGGGATTTTCCTGTTTTCAAACAATAACTCAAAAGTGCTTTAAGCAGTTTTCATGAAACCTTTGTGACTGGTTTATATCTATTAAAATAACCTCCCTTTAGTTTTTTTATGAATTTTTGATATGACATTGAGCAGTTATGGTACTTTATTCATTCACGGACGTATCATGCACTCATTTATTTATGTTTGGCCTAAATTATGTAGATACTAAATTAACAACCAATATGGCGATCTTAATTAACACAAAAATTTTTTCCTTTTCAAGATATATTTATAAATTTTTTAATTTTTTTTTATTTATCTTATTTTACTTACAACATTTACAATGTTATAATGCTTTATCTGACAAAAATCCAGGAATCTCAAACTGTGGACTTCCATTCACCCAAATCTGAGCTCCTGAGTCATCCTGAAATCACCACATCAATGAGGGATGTGAATTAGTTGTGCACACCAAAAGAGTACATAACATCTGACTTATACTCTCCAACCCCTACACAAGTATTTCCTCTACTCAACAAAATCAAATATTAAACAAGAGTGCACACACTAAAATGTCCTGCCTACTTTACTGATCTATTGATTTGAAATGTTCAAAATCTTTAAGATCAAGGCTGACCTTCAGTATATTGAGATACTTTTGAGAAAATATGTGTTTTGAGCTGTCACAGATCATATGTAGATTTGTTCAAGTTCAACTAACTTACACTTATATATATGGACTAGAACACACCCGTGAAATCGCGGGCATTTAGAGCTTGGTTTAAAGTATGTAAATTGTTGTAGGATGAATTTTTATAAAAGATTTTATGTCTGGAGAATTTCAGAAAAGATATCAAAAGCCCTCTCCCTTTTTTTAAAAGTCCGTTATTTGTTTCCTTTCTGTTAAATTCCATTATTTTCGCGGTTCTGGTCTCAGACCACAATTATTCTTCCCCTTTGCTACAATGCATTTTTTGGTAAAAGTCAAGTTAAATTGCACCGCTTCAAACATGAAATAAATAGAACTGCTTTTAGACCATTATTATTCTAATAAAATATGCTTCTAGGACACTCCATCAGTGCTTTTTTTCTTTTGAGAGCCCTAGCTATTAACATGCCAATGGTAGGATTTGAATCTTGAATAAATGACTAAGGCTAATTTCTACCCTACTTTCATTTTGGCCAAATCACTAATTTCACTTTCAACAATAAATTTTTTCCACATCTTTATCCCAGGAATAGATTACCCATAGATGACATCGTGTAATATTACATCTATGGATTACCTTAGCCAAATTTGGCACAACTTTTTGGAATTTTTGGTCCTCAATGCTCTTCAACTTTGTACTTGTTTGGCTTTATAAATTTTTTGATCTGAGCGTCACTGATGAGTCTTATGTAAACAAAAAGCACGTCTGGCGTATTAAATTATAATCCTGGTACCTTTGATAACTATTTACTTATTTATATATGCAACTGATATGACCCCTTAAATAGTAAACATTTCAAAGAAAACAGTAGACAGAATACTTAGGAAGCATTACCCCATATCATAATTGGGAACTATATTCCAAGACCAAGAACAAAGGGAATTAATTGTGATCTGAAGCCCCCGGTATACTATGAACATACGTATATTATAAATAAGGTGTATTTGCTTTTAACCAGAGACATATAATACAATATATATATTATATGTGACAGTATTATGTCTCTGTTTTAACTATCAATTCCAAGTTTCTTCTCCACGGCGATCACTGCTATAATTATATAGAGAGTCTTTATATATCATAGTAGTATAATCATAGTATACATGTCGATAAACGCGAAAATAAGTGTCCTCTTTCCGAGTTCTTATGAAAATCATGTGAAAGTTTAAAACCGGAAATCTTATATATGACTTAAAAGTCAGTCTGATGACGGAAACAATATCTGGACGCTTTTTTTTGCCGTTTTTCTCCCAAAATAACTCAATCTGAATAATCATAAGAATGGATGATAAATGCGACTAAAGTTCTGATATAAAAAATGCCACATTTTTTTATAATTGGTATCATATGGCTTTGAAACTTTGTAAACTGTTTTATAATACACTAAGCTTAAATCATGCCAAGTTTTAGATCCCTAATTGAATTAATAGGCCCAAGACCACAATTAATGACCCCGCTTTTCATTGTCCACAAATATAGTTCCTTTTAATTAGAGTGTATTTTTTCTTAATTTTTTTACTTTCCCTTCCTCACTCATTTCTTAGGTTTTTTTTTGGGTGGAAATGAAAGAAGAGAGGTGAAATAAACTTTTTGATGTTGTATTTTAACTGATTTTGATATGGAAAGAGTGAGTAGGCCAGGTGCAAAAAGGTGATATTTACAGTTTTCGGAACATCTCTTGACTTGTCCATAGGGGTATGGATGTGTATTGGCTAAATTTGTAAGAGTCATTGGTTCAATCTTTCTGAATTTTGGATATATTTTGGGACTAGTACTATACATTACACACACAAAAGATTTGACAAAAATGCATGGTGCAATTTTTTTAATGAAACAAAACGTTATAAAGAACTAATAGAGGAATTTAATTGTGGTCTGTAGCCATATAGAAGGTTTCATGAAGTTGATTTTTTTTTCTACCCCCTTTTAGCCTTTCTTTGAAATATTTAACTGATATTTTGACATAATTATTTCAATGCATGCTGACATCAATTGTTGATTTTACTGTCCCAAATTGAATTTTTGTATATTTGCAACTGTAATTTCTAAGATCAATTTTTTTTAAGGGCAATATGATATAGAAAAGATCACTCATTGATTTTTCCTTGAAAATTTGACACAAAGTCAATAATGCTATGCACTTTCAAAATATGCAAAGAAAAATATACCTTCATAATCTACTTTTTGAGATGATTCAGTTAGGTCCATGTGCTCATTTTTAAGGTAGAAATAGAAAACCTAGTTTTTTAAGTGCTTTAGATCCCATTTCCCTCTTTTGGTGCTAAATTATGACGCAGTGTATTCTTAATGCAACAGAGTCATGCAGCTATTCCTGCTGTACATCAAAATGCAATATGAATTACTGTCATATACAAAGGAGTATGGCCACGAAGTGCCGATATTGGCCCTGTGAGGTGACAAAAATTAAAAGAGAAATAAGGTGGATCCTTCATAGCTAAAACATATCTACGTATATTGTTATTTGTTATTATAGTATAAAATCATATTTTTGTGACGTCATTTATGTGACGTAATACCCGGAATCAAACCGGAACGCTCAAAATGTCCAAATTCTTAAAGAATTTCACACTTCCTGGTTAAATTTCGCATTGGCCACAGGCCTCGACCAAAGTAATTTTGTTCTTATTTTGATTGTTTGACACTTTGACTCAGTTTCCAACAATATTTAGCGTGGTCGAGGCCTGTGGCCACATCGAAAATTTTAACTTTTGCAAACAAGCAAATCCTGATTCAACGCCGCCATTTCCGAGGTACGATAGATTCTGTGACGAAATAATTAACTGTACCAAGAACTTGTACAATTGCTACAAATAGAATAAATTCTATAATTTATTATTCTCTTATTTATAACAAACAAAAAAGAAGAAAATGGAATAACAAGTCTTTTTAAGGGAAGCTTCGTTAACCGCCGATCTGGCGAGGTTTTTAACGTCCTCATAACTGTTTTTATTCAAAAACAAGACCAATTAGTGGAAATAAAAATTATGAATTTGCAAATTATTTTAAAGTTCATTTCCACGTTATTTTGTAATAATTAGCCCGGTCTGTGCTATGCAAACAAAAATATGACAGTTTTAAATTAGAGCCGTAGTTTTTTTCCGTTAAATTCTTCATCCAGCAGATCGACATGGGTGTCAACATAACAATTTAATACAAATTTCCTTTCAGATTCACGTATTTTGTTTTTTTTAAAGATGAAATCGCCGAAATATAACCTCCGCGGAATGTAATCTCATGTTGACGCTTTGATGAATAGCTTTCTTTCACGTCCGCATTTTCTATCATGTATGGCATGCCAAGTTAACATTTTACATAATTACTACGGATGGTGTAAATAGATTACAGAACTTTGAACAATAACATACATAGAAAATCGTAGGACATAAGAAGAAACCATGTGATAATTTTAATATCATATTGCACAGTGGTTAAAAAAGCTTTTTCTTTAATTAAAATAAAAATTACGACGCCATGAAAGGGCATGGTGTATACTGTCCGTGACATTCAACCAGAACAAATATTTGTTTTCAATGAAAACTGAAATAAAGATGAAACAAAACTATCCTTACAATCATATAGCTAAGGTAACTTCAAATAAATATCTGATATTCACGCGGGATAGCGTGCATAATTGGTCAGAATGCATACATGGAGCAATTGTTTATTTGGTCTCTTTTTGGTGGTTTCTTTTAAATTTGAGTGAGACTATGTTACAAGCGATCAACAAAAATGGCTGCTTACTATGAATGAATTATCTATGAGATAACTTTATATTTCTGATTTTTCGTTTCTTGTGGTGGCCCGAGGTTTGTGTTCAATCTGTAGTTACCTGTTTTTATATTTTTTTATTGCTGTTTTTTTTTGTCGCCTCTATATGTTCATGGTGTTGTATGATCTTATTAGTGTTATGATTCTTTATTGCCCCCCCCCCCCCCCCCCCCCCCCTTTTGGGGAATTTTCTCTTATGTTCAATGACAACACATGCAATTTTTTGTTTCCTGTTTGAAATAGATTCTCTAAATTGCTCTCCGTCATAAATATGCATGAAGTATTTGCCACTGGACGTTCATCAAACAACTATCAATCATATCTCCTCTAAGATTACAGTACAATAATGACCTTAACATAATTAAATAAATGATTAAAGGTTTTAAAATCTTTTGAGAAGATATTTACGCATCTATTATTTCACTTTTTGGGAAAAAAAACATTTTTCTACACGAGTTGTTTGTTTCATGATGATGGATGACTGTTTAACGTCCAGCGGTAAGTTAGATGCATATTCTGGACGAGAACATGTAATTTGCGCACATTGTCTCTATACTCTGGTATCTAGGGTATACAAGACAAAATCTGGACATCACACATGGAGTCCAGAATTGATGAGCTTCTCTTGAAGATGCAGCATTTATCCCACATACCATGGACGAAAGTGGTAGTGAGCAGAGTGTAGTTGAAGAATAGAATATTAATTTTATCATTGTTAGGTAGCTGTCACATTGACGTTTATCTCAGAATTCCTCTTGCTCATCTTTTTGAAACCTATTTGTTTATATTGTACTTTTTGCAATTAAGCAAACTTTTTGAAAACTATTAAAACATTTTTGTTGAAAAATAGTTCACATTTCATTTCACTTTAAAGAAAACAAACATTGTGGAGAGTTGTCTCATTGGCAATCATACCACATCTCCTTTTTATATATAGACGAAAATAATTGATCTTGTATACTAGTATTAATTATAGTTAGAGATAATACATTGCTTGAATGGATGCAGCTTACATACACTTATATCGTTACAATCAACGCCAAATAAAAAAAAAACCTGATATTCATGGATTTCTATTAGTCTTTAAATGAATCCATGCACGTCATTCGGTATCTGGGTTGAAAGTTGTCTTCTTTGCAATAATATCACATCTTCTTTTTTTCATACGGATTGAGGCATGAATCTGTTTGATTTGACCAAATGATAATAAAATTAATAACAAAATTCACTCGAACTTTTTTCGAGATAAGAATGATAGTTGTATGTGGAATACCGGAACACTTTAACCACGAGCAAGACTAGTTAAGATTACAAGATAAAAGCTAATTAAGAATAAATTGATAATTGTGAAAACCTTAAAAAAGAATTTCAGTTTAAAACTTAAAGGGGCATTAGCTGTCAAATTCATGTTCACCGATTTGACTCATATTCGACTTATAACATACTAAAACGTATATCCAAATTAAAAAAAGTATAAAATAAACAATTTACGGTGCATAGACTCGATAGTATGTATCAGCATTTAGTGTGTATTTTAGTCTAGACGCCATCTAATTAACCATCGAGGCGACCTTCTGAAGACTGCCGACGGCCATCTTACCCGATATAAACATAAACAAAGATATAAATAGATTGCAAACTCGTGCAATTGGATTTTTCTAGGTCTGTTTGATTTGATATTATAGGTTAAATCAATATGTTAATAATCGTTTTTACCTGTATAAGAATAAGTTTTTGTAGATCGAATCAGTCAACCAAATGGTTTACCCTTGTTTCACTTCCAATGTTGACATTCTTTTTCTTTTAATACCTGAACACGCCTATTTCATGCGTAATCCATCTCTAGCTAAGGGGTTCAATTGAACTTCACATGAATTCAGATTTAATGAGGTCGAATTATCTACTTGCAAGTGAATAATTCATAAGCGATGTTTCTTTGCTTATTTTGACAAAACTGAACCCAGCAGCCTAAAAGCGAATTATTATTTCACTTTCATTAATGATGGAAACAAAAAAAAAATCTTTTTTTTCTATATCTCGTAGCTAATGCCCCTTTAACATGTTTAACTAGACACGAATCATAAAATAATAAAAGTATTTGTTCTTTTAAAACGTAATTGATAGAAACAAGCAAAAGTCGGATAGATTTAATTGAAAATAGCTAAATCGCTAAATGAAATCGTCCACAGCAGACAACTGAGAATGAGTATTCTGACAAATTTTTGAGTTTTTTAAACTAGGCAGTGGCTATTTTTCCGCCGCCGGCAAAATAGAAAATATGCTATTTTGTCGTCTTTGATTAAAATATCTTAATTAAAACAAGGAAAATAGCATATTTCGATAGCAATGACTATTTTGCCGGCGCCGGCAATATAATGAATTTGTTATTTTGCCGGTTCTTTGTAAAGAGTGAATTTCAATATTTACTTGTGAAAAATACTACGAAAATGTGCATTGTCAACATAAAAGAATCAAATTATTATTCGACATATAGCTGAATAAGATAAATGTCACAATATTTGAGATACATATAATCGTTTATAAACATGTATGAGTCCAAGTGAAAATAAGAATTTGTAAAAAGGAATAAAAATAAAAACTATTGAGCATCCATTTGAAGCAATGAAACATGTAGTTGAAATTACTTCTAATATCAGTCTAATGCTACATATATACATAAGCATAAAATCTGAGATTTTTAAACTATACTGTAAAAAAATGAAAGACAAAATCTCATGGCATATCGGTTTGATAAAAACGTTATACAGTCTTTAAAAGATCAATCACATAGCTTCAAAATCAAAAATGTTTAAAAAAAATTAAACTTAGTTTTGAAATAATAGTCAGTTTTGAATTGCATATCTGTAAACAAAATCTTTTTTGCTGGCATGCTGGCTTCCACTTACCGAGAATGGCAAAATAGCATATTTTCAATTTTGGCGGCGCCGGCAAAATAGCCACTGCCTTTAAACTATTACTTTTTCTAGTAAAAAAGTTCTGGGAAAATATAAAAAGGATTTATTGAACCATTTGAAAGAATTATATTTCAATTTTTACAGATGACTACATATTTCATGCGCTTTATGGAGCTACCATTTGATTTTTATGGGGGGGCTAGGATGAAAAATTTTGTCCTGCCTTTTTATTTTTCCCTCTATTCGGTCCTGCCTTTTTATTTTTCACTCTATTCGGTCCTGCCTCTTTTTTTTTAGTTTATCCTGACTTTTTTTTTTACATAAATTGTCATCCTGCCTTTTTTTTTTTGCAAATAATCTCATCCTGCCTTTTTTTTTTACTCAAAACTCCTGTCCTGCCTATTTTTTTCAAATTTCATCCTAGCCCCCCCCCCCATAAAAATCAAATGGTAGCTCCCTTAGGTACAATTAGAGATAGCAGTACTATGTTATGTGGTCAGTGACGTATGAATGGCGGTATTATATGAAACTATTGTTCATTCATGTGTTTAATTCTGAATGTTGCTTTGAGAGTAAGCATGTAATCCTCCGGAATGAGAATGATGTTTATGAGTGCACGCGTGGTTCTGGTGTCTGATGACTTCTGTACAATTATAATGTGTTCTATGATTATTGAAGTACATGTTATGCTATGTACTGTCTATTCACAATGTTTATCTTTATCTGTGTTTTCATCTTTTACTTCTTTACTCGAAAATAAACTTTTCTGTGTTTAAGTGAATCACGGTTTTCTTTCCATATACAAATAAGATGATGTGGTGTGATCAACTATCCTCATAATTTTTTACGACTGTACTTCGCTCGCCAAGATATTTTACAGCTGTCAATCTAAATTCCTTCTGCCCAATAGAAGACATTCATTGCTTATGTTTTAAAATCCTTTATGACTTTTAATTTAATCTAAGCTATAGAATGATGTTTGTTTACATAGTCTCTGCAACTTCTATTTCGAGAATATCAATACAGAAAACGAGTATTCGGGCCACTTATAAAAAATTTAATTGAAGCGCTTATGTGCAGCTTAAGCCTTAATATTAGTAAATTTCTGTTAATAGAGTTAAAACAAAAACAAGATATATGGACGAGATTCAAGAAATAGTTTGGAAAACAATTCTTGTGGTAAAATGTGGTAAAACAATTTTAACGTTACGCGCAAATGGCTAAAATACCATTGTACCTTGGTCTTTTCTGGCGCCCTGGAAAATTATACAAACACAGTTACAAGTCTAATGGTTATCGTTTTATGAACTACACTAGTTAATGATCCTTCTGCAGTAATTACGTCAATTTCGGAGACAGGGCCGTTTTTAACCCTTCGTGGCCCTACTCCTTTATTATTGATAGAAAAGTAAACAGTCTTCACTTGTCTCAAATTTTATGCACCCACATGCTTAAATATACAACATGTTTGTTATCCTTTGCAAATACTTTCAAATTCACGTAACCGTTTTGATGACGTTAGTGAGTTTTCTGCAAATTTTGAATACTTATCATTAGCAACGTATTAAAAACAACGCGTTAAATTTGGATTCATTATTATCTGCCCTTGCTACTGTATGGTATGCCATTAAGAGATGAAAAAAAGAAGAACTTTAAATGTGATTTTTATTAGATACAAATATTATAAGTATTTTGTTGTCTTGAAACATTTAAGCAAGAGGTGTTGTAACACATACACATTTACTTATATACTTATTATAAATGAAAAATATTTTTGAAACCTATGATTTTCTATATATTTTGTATTTTTAGGCTTGAAATTCAGAAAGATGAAATAGACTCTTTAAAAGGAACATTGAAAAATACTTTGAAAGCCAAGGAAGAGGACTTGAGAATGTATTCACAAATGATGGAGGAGACTAAAACCGTGTTTTTACAAGCCCTGAAACAATTCAAAGAGAATGATCAAGGCACATGATTATACATTTTGAGGTTATTAACTTGGAATAATGTGCTGTTATCTGTATATGAATGGATGAAAGTACTGTATTGCAATTCATGAGATGTGATCATGAAAATACAATTATTTATTTATGAATTTTTGAATGTTAAATAATGGGTGTGGACACCTGTAAGTCCATAGTTAAATTCTGTCTTGACAAACTACCTGTCTGCTCAAATATACTCCTTTAAAGGGCCTTTGAACGGACTTTAAAAGGTGCACAACTAGTCAAGTACCAGCTACTGTTAGGAATTTTCATTTTTTTTTTCTTTAAAAATAGTTTAATAGAATGTGTGTCTGACAAGTATAGCACAAAAGATTTTTCACTTTAAAATCCTTATTTTTATCAATGAAAAACAGTCACTTGGCTTGTCATTTTATGTATACATATTACTTATGAATATATCTGCTAAATAATTGAACTTTTTCAATTAATTTAAATTTGATATCTTATTTATCCATGGTGTACATATAAAAAAGTTGTGTCAAATAAATCAATATAAATAAGAAGATGTGGTATGAGTGCTAATGCGACAACTCTCCATCCAAGTCACAATGTATAAAAAGTTAACAATTATAGGTCAAAGTACGGCCTTCAACACGGAGCCTTGGCTCACACCGAACAGCAAGCTATAAAGGGCCCCAAAATGAGCATGATGTAATTTTATCTGTCTGTTAATTTCAGAAGCAATATTTTTCTTGTCTAAATCTGAATTTGTTAACCCTCCCATAATCTAGGGCAGTAGTGTAACAACACGTTGTTAGAAAAAAATGTAAAAATCAGGTGGAAAGGTCTTCTCTCATCAGATGAACTTGAATAATAACAAACAAACAAAAAATACCCCACAAATTACTGATCTAAGAGTACTCACAGTAACTGAAGGATAGGTCAAAGCCAATTCAACTAATAAATAAACCATGTTTTCTCAGACTAAAATATCAGTTGGTACACATCCAACATATTTATTGTAAAGACCATATGAGAAAAACCTAATCTTTGAAATTCCACTATATAAGTATCAACAGGCTAGGATGTAGGACCAAATATTTGTGTATCGTTCTACAACAAAATCAAAAAGCAGAAAAACAAAGCGTTTCAATGTCTTTATAATATTAAGTAAAATAGAATTTATATAAATGAAATAATCATATTTTTCTGATGTTAGCAGCAGTTTTAACCATTTTTGTATGGCAAATGTTATTGAAGAAAGTGCAAGATGACAGTAACTGGTCCCTGATTGGTATTGTTGATATGATAAAATTCTATTGCTAATTATAAAAAAGCTTATTCTGAAGTATTTTGCAAAAAAATAATCAACTAGCCCATTTTAATTGTGTTATTTATTTTAAACCTGCACATGCTTTGTAGTTTTAATTTTTTTATTTTGTCTCCTCTGGCAATGTCCAGGTGTAGCAACTCACAGAGATCACTTCTATCATAATGATATGTGGTCATTCATTTCATACTTTGTTAATCTACAATTCTTTGAATATGGCATAAAAGAATATAACCAAACTAGCACATATTTTTCTGCAGGACATGAAGTTGTGCACCTGCTTGATGAATTTTTCTTCTGAGTGTTTTTTTTGGTCCCGCATGCGACGAAAGTTGCAGTATGCAAGACATAGGTATTACTATCCGGCGGCAGCGGCATAAACTATTTGTATAAAGCTTTATATTTCAAAAGGTAAAAGACCTGGATACTTCATATCTTGTATGCAGATACCTTATGTTACGAAGTTTCCGTCAATCATATGTCCATTGTCCTTGACCTCATTTTCATGGTTTAGCGTCTGCTTGAAAAAAAATTTGAGTTTATTTGCCATGTAAATTTCTCACTTATGATGAGTAATAGGATAACTATATTTGGTATATGGGTTCCTTGCAATGTCTACATATCAGTCAGACAGAGTTCACCTGACCTCGACCTCATTTCATGGATCAGTGTTCAAGGTTAAAGTTACATGATTGGGTCCATTTCTCAAATTCTATAAGCAGTAGGTCAACTATATTTGGTGTATGGAATGAATGTAATGGGTACATGTCAGTCTGGTAGGTTTCATCCGACGTTGACCTCATTTTCATGGTTCGTAGGTCAATGTTAAGTTTTTGTGTTTTTGTCTGTTTTTTCAAGTACTATAAGCAATAAGTCAACTATAATTGGTGTATGAAAAGATTGTAAGGTGTACATGTCTCTCTGGCAGGTATCATCAGACCTTGACCTCATTTTCATGGTTCATTGATCAATGTTAATTTTTTGTAGAGCCTGCAACTTTGGTCTCAGAAAGCTCGACATAGGGATAGTGATCCGGCGGCAGCGTTAGCTAACTTCTTAAAAGCTTTAAATTTTCCAAGGTGGAAGACCTGGATGCTTCATACTTTGTATATAGATGCCTTATGTTATGAAGTTTCAGTCTGTCGTTTGTCCATTGTCCTTGACCTCATTTTCATGGTTCAGTGACTACTTGAAAAAAAAGTTCAGATTTTTTGTAATGTTAATTTCTCTCTTATTATGAGTAATAGGTTATTTAATGTGTGCATGCGTACCTTGCAAGGTCCTCATGCCCGTCAGACAGTTTTCATCTGACCTCGACCTCATATGGATCAGTGAACAAGGTTAAGTTTTTGTGGTCAAGTCCATATATCAGATACTATAAGCAATAGGTCTTCTATATTTGGTGTATGGAAGGATTGTAAGGTGAACATGTCCAACTGGCAGGTGTCATCTGACCTTGACCTCATTTTCATGGTTCAGTGGTTAAAGTTTTTGTGTTTTGGTCTTTTTTTCTAATACTATATGCAATAGGTCAACTATATTTGGTGTATGGAAATAATTTACAATGTACATGTCAGTCTGGCAGGTTTTATTTGACCTTGACCTCATTTTCACGGTTCATTGCTCAGTGTTTAGTTTTTATACGCCCGTTTACGGGACGTATTATGGTATACCGTTGACCGTCTGTCCGTCCGTCTGTCCGTCCGTCCGTCGTCAACATGTCGGACATTAATTCAAAAACAGTAACACAATATGCATGAAACTTTTGTGAAATGTTTATATCTATTGACGTGAGCTCCCTTTCGTTTTTTATAAATTTATAAATTTCAGATTACCATTTCCAAGTTTTGGGGTTTTATTCATTAAAAAAGGGGGGATTTTCCAGTTTTTCGGACAATAACTCAAAAACAATTTCACCAATTTGCATGAAACTTTGTTGAATTGTTCATATCTATTGACCTTAGCTCCCTTTTGATTTTTATGAATTTCAGATAATACGTTTCCGATTTATGGGGTTTTATTCATTACAAAAAGGGGGATTTTCCAGTTTTCATACAATAACTCAAAGATGCTTTCAGCATTTTTTATGAAACTTTGGCAAATTGTTTATATCTATTTTTGTAAGCTCCCTTTTGATTTTTATAAATTTTCGATTTTACGTTTCCAAGTTATAAGATTTTATTTGTTTATAGTCTGACAACAGATTTACTAAGTATTGCGCAACAGCACAGTGTATTGCACAACAGCAAGAAATCTTTCATATAACCAATTTCAAGTTCTTTGACTACATTTATTCAGAAACCTATAATATATGAAATATTTAATTACAATCAAAATTCAGACCTGTATCAAGCTTGAATATTGTGTCCTTTTTTGCCCCAACTGTTCAGGGTTGGACCTCTGCGGGCGTATCCAGCTGCCCTCAGCGAAGCAGTTTATTGTGTTTTGGTCTGTTTTTGTTAAACTATAACCAATAGGTCAACTATATTTGTTGTATGGAATGATTGTTAGGTGTATATGTCTGTCTGGCAGATATCATCTGACCTTGACCTCATTTTCATGGTTCATTGGTCAATGTCAAGTTTTCATGGTAAAGTTTGTTTCTTAGATACTATAAGCAATAGGTCAACTATATTTAATGCATAGATTGATTGTAATGTGTACATGTCTGTCTGGCATGGCTCATCTGACATTGACCTTATTTTCATGGTTCATTGGTCAATGTTTAGTTTTCCTGTTTGTCTGTTTCTTACTATAAGCAATAGGTCAACTATATTTGGTGTATTGAATGATCTTAGGTGTACATGTATTTTCGGTTTTGTTTATCTGACCTTGACCTCATTTTCTTGGATCATGTTAAGTTTATGTGATACTTTTAGTAAAGCATTATATTTAGGACTATCAACATAAAATCAATGGTCAGTAAAGAAGGCGAGACATTTCAGCATGTGCACTCTTGTTGTGTTTTTGTCTGTTTTTCAAGTACTATAAGCAATAGGTCAACTATATTTGGTGTATGGAAAGATTGTAAGGTGTACATGTCTCTCTGGCAGGAATCATCAGACCTTGACCTCATTTTCATGGTTCATTAGTCAATGTTAAGTTTTTGTGTTTTTGTCTGTTTTTCAAGTACTATAAGCCATAGGTCAACTATATTTGGTGTATGGAAAGATTGTGAGGTTGCATGTCTGTCTGGCAGGTCTCATCAGACCTTGAATTCATTTTCATGGTTCATTGGTCAATGTTAAGTTTTTGTATTTTTGTCTGTTTTCAAGTACTTTAAGCAATAGGTCAACTATATTTGGTGTATGGAATGATCGTAAGGTGGGCATGTCTGTCTGGAAGGTAACATCTGACCTTGACCTCATTTTTATTGTTCAATGGTCAATATTAAGTTTTGTGTTTTGGTCTGTTTTTCAAATGCTATTAGCAATAGATCAGCTATATTTGGTTTCTGGAATAATTGTAAGGTGCACATTTCTGTCTGGCAGGTATAATCTGACCTTGACCTCATTTTCATGGTTCATTGGTCAATGTTAAGTTTTTATGTTTTGGCCTTTTATTCAATTAGCATACGCAATAGGTCAACTATATTTGGTGTATAAAAAATTGTAAGGTGTATATGTCTAACTGACAAAATTTATCTGACCTTGACCTCATTGTCATAGATTTGTAAAAATGTTCAGTTTCTGTAATGCTTTTAGTAAAACCTTTATCTTTAGACTATCAACATAAAATCAATGGTCAGTAAATCAGGCAAGACATTTCAGCGTGTGCACTCTAGGTTTCTCAATTACAAAACATGGACTTTATCTATTTCATGTTTAAAAGTAAGGAAAACAATTTCATGTTTAAAAATAAGGAAAACATATGCATTCTTTAGACAAAAACCCTGGAGGTATCTCCTGCTTAGTATTTTGTGCTTTGGCATTGACATTTAGTGCTTTGGCATTGCAATTTATTACTTTAATTTTGTTTAAATGTAAGTTTGATAATGTTTGGTATTGGGAACCACCGACTGGGTTCTGAAATAGTATTTTGTGTTTTTATACTCAATTGGTGGAATATGATATACAAATTCCATTCAAAATGTAAAGAAAAGACAATAAAATATAAAGATTTGTATAAATCTTCATTACATTTTAACTTTGTAATCATTAGATAGATCTTTAATACCAGATGGTATCAACTGCAGTACACAGTAACAAATAAAATCAAAATGTCATTTGATAGATCTTTAATACCAGATGGTATCAACTGCAGTACACAGGAAAAAAATAAAAACAAAAGGTCATTAGATAGATCTTTAATACCAGATGGTATCAACTCAAAAGGTCATTAGATAGATCTTTAATACCAGATGGTATCAACTGCAGTACACAGGAACAAAAAAATCAAAAGGTCATTAGATAGATCTTTAATACCAGATGGTATCAACTGCAGTACACAGGAAAAAAATAAAAACAAAAGGTCATTAGATAGATCTTTAATACCAGATGGTATCAACTCAAAAGGTCATTAGATAGATCTTTAATACCAGATGGTATCAACTGCAGTACACAGGAACAAAAAAATCAAAAGGTCATTAGATAGATCTTTAATACCAGATGGTATCAACTGCAGTACACAGGAAAAAAATAAAAACAAAAGGTCATTAGATAGATCTGTAATACCAGATGGTATCAACTGCAGTACACAGGAACACATGAAATCAAAAGGAAGATATCATGGATACAGATAAAGATTGATAATGAAAAAAGAAAAATATAGCTAAAGCTTTGTGTAGTTTATATTGTCATATTATTCATTTGTTGATTTGGAATACAACATAATTTCAAGACATATGCAATTAGGTATGTCTAAAAAGCCTTGCACGTTTTTAGCCTTGACTGTGTGTCTGTCGTAAACTTTATTAAAAAACGTCTACTCTGAAACTAAGCTAAATGATACCAAACTTAATCTAACTGTTTCTTATGGTAATAAGTTAATAAATTATATCTGGGAATTTGATTCATCAACCAGCAGCAAATTTGACAGGGTTGATAAATTTTAGCAGGTCAACATCTATTTTGTATTTACATTGTATCATAGGTCAAATTTATTTGTTCAGTGTATGTTCACTGGTGTTAATATGTCCTTTGATTGAGTTAAGCCATTTCAGTTCATATTTTATAGTGTGTCTTTCTATGCTGTGATGTTACACTATTGTTTCAGAAAAAGGGTTAAGGTTTGGTACCATTAAAACGTTTAACCCCGCTGCAATTGTTTGCACCTGTCCTAAGTCAGGAATCTGATGTTCAGTAGTTGTCGTTTGTTGATGTGGTTCATAAGTGTTTCTCGTTTCTCGTTTTTTATATAGATTAGACCGTTGGTTTTCCCGTTTGAATCGTTTTACACTAGTAATTTTTGGGGCCCTTTATAGCTTGCTGTTCGGTGTGAGCCAAGGCTCCGTGTTGAAGACCGTACTTTGACCTATAATGGTTTACCTTTATAAATTTTGACTTGGATGGAGAGTTGTCTCATTGGCACTCATCCCACATCTTCTTATATCTATTGACAGCATTGTAATCATATAAGCGCAATCTACACAGGACCGCAACATCGGAATGAGGAGAAAGTCAACAAAGGCATTTAAAATTTGGGATGTCAACACTAAATGTGCTCGTTAAGACGAAATAAAATTAATTCATCCAGATCCCGTTACATATTATGCCCAAGCGACAAAATATCGGTGGGCATATTAATTTACCCCTGTCCGTCCGTTCGTCCGTCCGTTCGTCCGTCCGGATTAGGATACATTGTTTGTCCGGCTTTCCCCTCCTACAGTTTTGGAGGTACAACTTTAATATTTGTAGGATGTTCATACACATAATGAAGGTGTGCATGGCCACAGGATTTTGATTTTTTTTTTCAAAAATTCTGAAAATGACAGGTAGTTGGACTTAGTCATTTGTTTGGTACTATCTGCATAAAGAGATCATGGTTTGTCCGGCTATCTCCTCCTACAGTTACATCATCATACATAGTGTTAAATTTATAATTTCCTATGGTCAGGCGGGGGCATCATTTGTGTCTTACAGACAGCGTAACAATTTCAAGTTGTATACCAACATCCTTGTTTGTCAAATCTAAAATATGTGGAACTATACTCATGCATAAGGCAGAGCAGAATGGAAATCAAACGATTCATTAAAAAACCGTGTCCCCACAATAAATAAATGATCGGTGCTTTGATGAAGATAAATCCAGAAAAGCGCTTCGAACGCATCAAATTGTAACGAGATATTTTCATTAACCTTTAGCATTCAAACGGTTGACTAAATCTAATTTTTGAAGCACTTTTTTAGCTCACCTGGCCCAAAGGGCTAAGTGAGCTTTTCTCATCACTTTGCGTCCGTCGTCCGTCGTCCGTCGTCGTCCATCGTTAACTTTTACAAAAATCTTCTCTGAAACTACTGGGCCAAATTTGACCAAACTTGGCCACAATCATCATTGGGGTATCTAGTTTGAAAAATGTGTCCCGGGTGACCCGGCCAACCAACCAATATGGCCGCCATGGCTAAAAATAGAACATAGGGGTAAAATGTAGATTTTGGCTTATATCTCTGAAACCAAAGCATTTAGAGCAAATCTGACAGGGGGGTAAAATTGTTTATCAGGTCAAGATCTATCTGCCCTGAAATTTTCAGATGAATCGGACAACCCGTTGTTGTATTGCTGCCCCTGAATTGGTAATTTTACGGAAATTTTGCCTTTTTGGATTATTATCTTGAATATTATTATAGATAGAGATAAACTGTAAACAGCAATAATGTTCAGCAAAGTAAGATCTACAAATAAGTCAACTTGATCAAAATGGTCAGTTGACCCCTTAAGGAGTTATTGCCCTTTATAGTCAATTTTTAACCATTTTTCGTAAATTTTTGTAATCTTTTACAAAAATCTTCTCCTCTGAAACTACTAGGACAAATTTAACCAAACTTGTCCACAATCATCATTAGGGTATTTAGTTTAAAAAATGTGTCCGATGACCCCGCCCGCGAACCAAGATGGCCGACATGGCTAAAAAATAGTACATAGGGTAAAATGCAGTTTTTAACTCATATCTCTGAAACCAAAGCATTAAGAGCAATCTGATGAGTATAAAATTGTTCATTAGGTCAAGATCTATCTGCCCTGAAATTTTCAGACTAATCAGGCAACACGTTGTTGGGTTGCTGCCCCTGAATTGGTAGTTTTAAGAAAATTTTGCAGCTTTTGGTTATTAACTTGAATATTATTATAGATAGAGATAAACTGTAAACAGCAATAATGTATAGCAAAGTTAGATCTACAAATAAGTCAACCTGACCAAAATTGTCAATTGACCCCTTAAGGAGTTATTGCCCTTTATATTTAATTTTTTACAATTTTCATAAATTTTGTAAATTTTTGTAAATTTTTACAAAATATTTTCCACTGTAACTACCGGGCCAAGTTCATTATAGATAGAGATAATAGTAAGGAGCAAGAATGTTCAGTAAAGTAAGATCTACAAACACATCACTATCATCAAAACACAATTTTGTCATGAATCCATCTGTGTCCTTTGTTTAATATGCACATATACCAAGGTGAGCGACACAGGCTCTTTAGAGCCTCTAGTTCATGCATGAATGCAGTGTTGGCATCACCTTTGTCTTGTTTTTGAAAAGCTATTAGGACGAAAAAAAAATTAAATCAGTAGAATGTTATATTGAATTAATAGGAAATTTACGAAACCCGACAGGGGAAATGAAAATAAAATAACAAACACCATTTAGATCGCGTTACATATTTGTTCAATACGTTTTTCGGTATTTAGTAACGTCACACGTTTTCTGTGAAATTATACTGAGGCGTATCTGTCAATTTTGAAGAAATTTATCTAAAAAACAAGGATGGTGACATATGTGTTTCTATTCATGCATGGATTCATTATACAATCCTGGACATTATGTTAGTTGATAGTCATTCTCCGTATATAAGAACATATAGCCACCCATTGAAAAATCTTTAAAAAATGATTTAAAAAAGTTATTTTCCCTTTTTATCAATATAAATTTGTCGCCAAGATTATTACAAAAAAAAATGGTGACCACTATATTTTATTTCATATTCCGATGTTACTGGAATCATAGTACAAGTGTGCCATTTTTTTTAGAAATCGGGAGATATGCCATTTGGTATCGAGTTACCTTAAATCAGAATAGATTGATATGATCATCATAATCATACTGATAAAGGATATCTGTTATCCGAAATATTTATAGATACTTATATTAATTTTTATTGCGTAAACCCCTGAGGGTTAACGCAGTATATATTGGACGATGTCCGTAGTCTTTCGGAACACCGGATGTTATTCGGAATACATCTGTTTCTTTCTATGGCCACCTTTCATAAACATGCGCAATAGCTTATTATTTGACCTGTTGAATCATTAGCATCTTAAAGTTGCTATAGAGATATGTTACATATGATGCGAAATTTATTATGACGCAAGCTACTTTAATAAGCATTTGAATACTTCCTTGCACGCAATTACAAGCTGCTAATATTTACCTTACATATACGCGTAGTTATTCTAATTAGAGTCAAACGTTGAAACCAGCTATGTTTAGATATGAGATAAGATTTCACGTAAACAATGCGATTTATATTCGAAACGAGATTTGTTTAAACTAAAATCTATAAAAGAAGTATTACTAGCATTTCACTTAAGATTCCGAGTCTAGGGAAAATGTACATAATGTACGAAGCAGGCTATTTCATAATTTTCATACCTCAACTTCCTTGTGGGACTAACTAAAGGACAATACTGAAATTAAAATGAAGTCTTTCTTGCACTTTATTGAAATTTTACGTCTAGGATAGACCAAGGACGTATATAATCTAAATTGATATACGTCCTTGAATAGTTTTTATTTTCTTTAAAATTGCAATTTTCTTTGTTTAAATATTGCAACGTTATTTCCTTATCAAATGTCTATTAATTAATAGACACCGAGTGATGACAGATGCAGGCAGAGATACGAAAAATTAATTTCTATTTATAGTTATCTTGGTCAGGGAACAGATTATCTAACTATATGTTCGGCCTGTAGTAATTAATGCTCTTCAAAATG